TCAAAGGAAAGACTAAGGGACATTGAGCACAGACAGAACATCAGAAATGCACAAAGTAGTATACACATAGTAACACCAACCGAGAAATGACTAGGAAAAATAGAAAACCTAGAGCTAGCATGACAAAAAGAAAGCACAAACCCACCATCAGCATATTCTACAAGCTGACTATAGGCATGCACCATTGTACGCACATCACGTTTTACTACAATCACCACAGTAATACACTAAAGGGAGGGAAAACCGAAACGAGGTACTAAAATCTGGCATATCTGAACAGATCAAAGACGGGGAAGGCTCTCGAGAATTAGCAGTGTTCCAGTTCTGGAGCCAAGCAATGGTTACAGAACTATCTGCTTCATCATTATGTTTGCGTTATGTACTCTTCATTGAGTTCCAATTCACAGCAAACCATTGTGAAACGGGCTGGAGAGAGAACTCAGATGGGTAAGAGCACCTGACACAGAGGACACAGCCACTACAAGCACGGCTTACAACCGCCTGTAACTCCAGCCCCATGGGCACACATGGGATCATACATACATGCGGGCAAAACACTCATCTGCAGAAAATAAAAAGCGATTTTTTGTTTAAAAATTGTAAAATTACAGAAATTAAATATGACTAATCAGCAATTAATGAAACAATATGGAAACAAAGAATAAGCTTATTTTATGAAATGATATGCAGACAGAATAGTTTATACTTACATATATTACTGTGATTCCACAGCACATTGTAAAGTTGGACCTAAAGATTACTGACACTCTCCCCTTTTCCGAGGGGCAGGAGAGGGGATAGACGGATGAGGGAGGGACAAAGTGGAGGGAAGGGAAGGAGAGCAGCGAGAGGGCTACAATTGAGATGTAAAGTGAATAACCAAATTAGCTAATTAAAGTTTAAAAAAGATTACATACAGCTAGAACTGGTAAATTTACAAGAAAATAAAGCAATTTTCTGTGCTTTCAAGTTTTTATGTTGAGTTTTCTTATTATGACAAATTTTACTTCAATAAAAGCTGGAAGAGATTTCTTTGCAAAGAATTTAATGTTTAAGAGCTTACCTGATTTTTCAGATAGAGGAAAAAGCCTGGCCAAAAAGAGTTGAATTCGTCCACAGAAAACTGTATTCTGAGATTTAGATAATCTTCTGAGTAGATCTAACAACGTTCATAAATGAATAAAACAGAAGAGATCATTCAATGTTCATTACAATTATACCTGAATTAACATTTGTTCAGCATTATCCTAGAGCAAGGGCTCCTAAATGGAAGCAGAAATCATTGTCACAGAAAGAACTGTAAGTTAGAAACACAGTTCTGTGGACAAGATCAATGGAAGCGCATGATCAGTTTTAATAAGTTAAGACAACTTAAAAACAGATTCTAATCTACTTGTTTTTTAAAAAAATGTATTTATTTATTGTATATACAGTGTTATGCCTGAACACCAGAAGAGGGCATCAGATCTCATTCTAGATGGCTATGAGCCATTATGTGGTTGCTGGGAATTGAACTCAGGACCTTTGGAAAAGTAGCCAGTGCTCTTAACCTCTGAGCCTTCTCTCCAGCCCCTTAATCTACTTCTAAGACACCTTCATTGCTATTTAATAAATCACCTATTTTTCTGATCACATTCACCATTTTCTTATTTTTTTCAAGACAGGGTTTCTCTGTATAGCCCTGGCTGCCCTGAGCTCACTTTGTAGACTGGACAGTCCTCGAACTCACAGAGATTCACCAGACTTTACCTCCAAGGCATTAGCATTAAAGGTGTGCACCACCACACCCAGTTTACATTCACAGTTTCAAAGGAATAATTCAATGATGGATTACTTACCATTGCACATACGCAGTAAATAATTTTTGCCAGCAGAATAGAATGTATTCTGAAATGAAGACCATAATTACTACTACACTTTGGAAGTTGCCCACTCACTTCAATAAGTCAGCAGAATTAAAATATTAAAGAGAACTAATAATGTATGAGCCTATTTCACTTATTTCAAAGCATTTTCACTTGGGTGTGTAAAACAGCATGACACAGTATCTTGCAAACATCTAGAAGCGTGTGTGTTTGCTTTATCTTTAAAAATTTGTTCTAATTTACTCACTTTGAGTGTTTTGCCTGCATGTATGTATGTGTACCACATGTGTGCCTGGTTCTAGCAAAGGCTAGAACTGGGCACCGGGTCACCTTGAACTGGAGTTATAGATGATTTAAGCCACCATGTGTGGGTGCTGGGAATCAAACCTGGATTCTCTGAAAGAGTAACAAGTCCTCTAAACTGCTGAGCCATCCCTCAGCCTTTATTTGTTGGAGACAGGTTCTGCCTGTGTAGACCAGGCTGGCTTGGAGCACAGCTTTCCTACCTACACTCATAAATTCACAATACCACGCCTGATTGAGAGCATGCATTTCCAAGGTTTTTTTTATTACTTTTTGTAATAAATTTTTCTCTGAACACAGTATGCAATTCTTTCACAGGGACAAATGTTTTAGCAAACACCAACATTAGAATTACTAGCAAATAAGCCCCAAACAAAACTATCTTCTGAATTTTATCTCTATAGAGATAATATTAGCAGGAAAGGAAACCAAGGCACTTACTGACTTCCAGGTAGCAACATTTTTTTCGACAAAAGTGAATATTGTGTCACACTGATCCAAAGGAAGGCAGTCTAAGACGTCTCCCAACAGCACAAATGGTGTGGACGCGGTACAGACACCTGCAAGTGGGGTTCAAGTCAACGAAGAACTTTTGACACTGTCAAGCAGCCCATGCAAAAGAGCTCTGTGGTCATGCTACATTACAGAGTAATGATAAAGTCAAAGTTACTCTAGGTCTCTAAAGTCAATGTCAGTGAAGAACAGCAATGAAGATTTTCCTTAAGAAACGGCCATTTAGACTGGTGAGAAGAACTTTCACATCTCCTCATTTCCCTTCTGGTTTTTTTTTTGGGTACTTGCTAATACAGTTTCTTAGCCAACTGCATACGGTATGTGGAGAAAGAAAACTCTGTGGTCAATATAAGCATAAAAACACTGAGTAAATACAATAGGTCCAGAAAAGGGAAGCTACTTCCAGCTGTGCTTAGCCCTAGTAAGATCACATCTGGATAATGATGTGACGAATACGGCCTAGAACCAGGGGTAGCAAAAGGGAACAATTTCAAACCAATATAAGGTTGATGTTATCCTAACTGTCGAACAGGACCCAATGAACTCCATCAACAGTCTTGTTCTGGCAGAGGCTAGACAACACTGATCAGGGTCACTACAGAGGGAAGACAGGCCAGACCTAACACCCAGCGCCACTGTTCACTGCTAATTTATACACTGTGAACCTAAGAAATTCAAAAGGCGTATTTCCTGCCACTAACTGCAGCAGAGTATATGTTAACTCATTTGGTATTTATAAAACCTGAAAAAATGTTTACGTTCTACAGCCAACGATTCTGAGTCTGTAGAAGTGAGTGAGGGCCTGAGACTCTCACTTAAAGACAGAGCTTGGCTGGTGACTCTAAGGAGCTGGTAGGTGAGAATCAGTGCATTATACTGTGTCCCGGAAGCCTCACAGTCCCTTAGGCAGCGGGCTGTTTACCTTAGCCTTGGTTATAAACATCCCTCTCCAGTTTCTAAATACCAGTCTAGGCTCATACTTCTATGGTCTCAATAACAGCATTCCTTTTTCTGCCTAAAGACTTCTCTTTATCACACAGCAAGTTTCAACCTCATCTTTCAAAACAGAGTAAACAACAGCTCATTTAAAAAAACAAAACAAAACAAAATAAAAAAAAAAAAAACAGCAAACAACAAAAAGCCTGATATTTTTGGGCAGACTACTTTATCCTCGCTTCCTAACACAGTACATCAATCTACTGAATAATTAGCATATCCAAATTAATCACCATGGTAGCACAGACTATAAACTTATAATAACATCACATTTATCTTGTTATTATGTGCACATACATGTGCATGAGTTTACACAAAAGTTTAATAAGTAAAATTGGAGATTAGGAAGTCAGATTTACAAAACAGCTCACTTTGACACTGGGAAACCATTTTTTTGTGTGTGCTCCAGGTCTGTGGAAAAAAGTATCTAAATAATATATATGAATAATACTTAACAGATTACAAGGCCATTTTCACATATGTTATCTAAATTAATTAAATGAGATTGAACAACAGGGTGAAGGAATGCTGAGGAACTGGTTTTCTTTTTTCTTTCTGGAAATATTCAACAAGCTCCTACCATGTGTGGGCACTAAGCGCCTATGTGCTGTATTTAGAGTCTCTTACCCCAAGTCTATGCTTACAAGAGATTTAGTGTGTGTGTGTGTGTGTGTGTGTGTGTTTGTGTGTGTGTATGTGTGTGCGCGCACGTGTGTGCGTCTAAGTGTATGTATGTGCATCCCTTGCTGCAGGTGCCTGCAGAGGCCAGAAAATGCTCATCTTCATACTCTCTGAGCTGGAGTTACCAGGAGTTATGAGCTGCCTTACAGGGGTGCTGGAAACTGAACCTGGGCCCTCTGCAAGAACAGCAAGTCCTCTTAATTACTGAGCCATGTCTCAGCCCCCAGATGTTTTTAAAAATCATTTTATTATAAAGCCTTGGCTGGCTTGGGACTCAGGGACCTGTCTGGCTCTGCCTCCCAAGAGCTGGGATTGATGGTGTATACCACCATGTCCTGCAAGATTTATTTCCTTTTTAATTTTATCAGTGTTTGGCCTGAATGGATGTATACTGTGAAGGTCAGAAGAGGGTGTTGGACCCCTAAACTGGAGTTACAGCTGTGAGCTTCTACGCTGGTGCTGAGAACTGAACCTAGGTCCTTGCCAGAGCAGCACATACTCTTCACCAGCGAGCCATCTCTCCAGGCCCCACTGCTGCACTTTTAGATCTCTGCCTAGTTTTGCCAGCGGTCTGCCCCAGTCCACTTACTCTTCTACGGATGTCTGTCAGCATGAAATACAATGGCCTTTAGACTAAGCCACACGTCATGTTTCCTTTGCCATTCTCATGTCACAATTTTCTAGCTATGCGGAACCTGGCCTTTGTGTGAGCATTTCCTTTTCTATTTCTGGCAACCTTTATCCCTCATGTCCTTATTTGTAGGCTCAATCTTCCTTTTTTCATTTTGTTTTATTTTGGAGGCAGGATCTTGCCCTGTCTTAAATACCTGATTGTCCTGATTCATCCTTATAAGAACTGGATTATAGGTATGTGTCACAAATCCCAACCCATCTTCCTTTTAAAAATTCTTCCTGATTCCTTTAGACTTTTAATTTGGAAAGTCATTTTCACTTTTATTATATTCAACACACTTTAAGCCTAGCACTATGAACTCAGCTGCCTGCTCTTTGATCACTTCCCCCGGTGATGCAGCCTTCCCAGGCCACCGACAAAGAGGATCCAGGCAGTCCTGATGAGACTAGATAAGCTAGGGTCAGATGGTAGGGAAGGAGACGCCTCTTTTCAGTGGACTAGGTAGGGGATAGGAGAGGAAGAGGGAGGGAGGGTAGATCTGGGAGGAGATAAGGGAGGGAGCTACAATCAGGATATAAAATGAATAAACTATAAAAAAGAAAAAAAAAA